GTAAAAGTTTGACATTTAAATAAGTAATTTATTTTCTGTGTAAAGCAACCACAAAGCATGACAAACCTTTTAAAACCCTTTATAGCTATTGTATCATTTTCATTTTTAATTGGGTCTCTTGCATTTTCAATCGCTAAATGGCCTGTTTCAAGCTCCAGCAAATACATGAATATTCTATTACAGTATAACCCCTTCACAATATGCAGATTTGCTTGCTTTCTCGTTTCATTTTCATACGAGCAAATGTACCATGTTTTACTGTCGAGTAAAGCGTTTTTCAACCAACATTCTGCAAAATAAAATCCTTTGAATTGCTGCAAGAATATCACAGCCGTTTTTATTCTAATCAAATCTAATAGTTTTTATGATTTCAGTTTGAATGTTCAGCTTGTTGCTGTAAAAAGAAAATGGTATCCTGCCTGCAATGGATGAAAAGCACACATTAGTCTTTGACTCCAAAAGCTTGACCGCACAGGGGAGCAAGGGATACTGCTAACTGCAGCGAATGGATATTTTATTATCTATTTCTATTTTTGTCTCAATGCCAAACGCCTTCAAGAAGTCTTTTGTTAAACTTGCATTCATGAATATTTAGGAATTAGCATCGAATGAAATGAGTGTATGAAATGTGAATGGGTCGCTCATGCCAAACCTTTAGATAATTAGCACCCAACCCTGCTTTTTAGCCCCTTTGAGCTCACTGTTTTGGTTTTGTTACCTACTATGTTGCCCCCTAAAGAGACCAAACTCATTTCACATTTTTCTCAATTAAAACAATCCCGAAATACATATCTTGGTGGTGTTGTGAAGTAAAACATCTTTCAGGAGGATTTCACAGGTAAAGAAATTATCCTCAAAGGTATCTTCTTCTTCAAAACTAATTACTGAGCTGCTGATTGAAACCTCTAAAAACTTGAATTAAGCACTTCCACATTAGAAATTCTATGTTTTTTTGACGCTGCATGGAGGACTAAGACGTCCTGGAGGGGCTGTGAGCTGAGTTTCCACTTGTTTGCTCAGCTTGTTTCTCTGGTAACTTAAGATCCAGACAATAGGGAGGATTTTACCTCCTCTGATCCAAAACCAACAGATTTAGTGATCAAAACCAATACAAATACTAAATAAAGCAGTTTCAAGTAAACAATCTGTGTTTCTTTGAGACTTTTTGGCTGCTGTTCGGATTGCTAAGATTGTTCAGATATCTGATGAACAAAATGTTTTCTCCGGATAACATTTATAGGAAAAATAGACCAGTATAATATATTATGTGGCTTGCAACTGGATACAAAGTCAATTTAGGACATGTTTTAACAAACAACTACACCTATTGCTCAACGGAGGTACAACAAAATGGCATGACTTCATGTCACTGCCGCTAAGCTTACAGTGGCTAATGCTCGTTCGTTAGCAACCACCATTTTTATGGCTCAAAGGGGCTTCAGGGGTTCACGAGTGGTGTGTTAACTGACGTTTTTTCATAGAACAAAATGTGAAAATATTGTTAGCTTGTATTAACCACAGACCTTGTTTCGTGAATTTAACCAAAACATAATTGAAAAATCCATTGACTTCGAGACGAGGGAGTAAAGGGAAGTGCTAGAATGCTAACTCTTTTCTGTGTTTGGGGCTCATTCTTGCTGTCAGACATAAAGTTAGGAGAGGGTGGCTGATTTTCACTCCATAGTTTACCGTAAATCACAGAATCTAGCCCCTGTGCAAAAGGTTTACATTTAAGAAGTATGTGGCTTAAAAGTCATTTATGACAGTTTCTGAACACCTAAACCTAATACTTGTGCTCAAAGGAGATACAACACCATTTATACCCCCTGTCCTTGTGGCTTTAACTGGCATGCCATTTACCCAGCATGCTCAGCAACCTATGTTATGTCATGCTGTCACACAGCCAGGATAAGCTTGAGCTCTTTATACTGAGCAAGAAAACTGACAAACATCTCTGTGCAGCCTCCTTTGCCTACACTTGATTTTTGTTACGATAGACTTGTGGTGCACTTACATCCATCAAATGGACGACTAGATGTTGTCATCCCTTTGTACACACGAGGCTGTCGGTTCAAAGAAATGATGTCAATCCTAATTTGATTTCCTGCGCTGGGCAGGGCTCTGTAGGGAGGATGGTGGAAGCCCGTGATACCATGGGGACTTGTTTGGGAAAAAATAAACTATGGGTCCAATTAATCATGGAATGCACTCAGAAACGGGAAAATGGAATTTGAAATGAGCGCTTTTGTTTCATTAACTTAGAAAGCCTGTAGGCTGGACAGAAACACAGGGTGGATTCATCAACAGTCTAGGCAAGAAGGGGAAAAACCTCAAATGGAAATGTAATGGAGTAACGGCCCATGGCATACAATTAATGGCTGCGACTTGGCTAAGCCAGTTTGAGGAATGTCCTATTAATTAATGCAAATACTAAGGTGACGACATTCGTTTGAATTAGCAAACAGCAAACTGGTTCTTTCACCCCATACATGTCTATTATGAATCAATCAATTATATTATTGTATGGTTAGGTAAGGGGCCCTATAAAGCTTTTTGGGGTTTTGCCTTTACTTGTGAGTTACTAAGAACATCCATAACATTCAACTGTTTGCAACTTACAAATTATGTATCACTTGTATATAGACCCTTATGGTACTTCTATTCTATTTTATTGTATTTACTTGCACTATTTTATCTGTTTTATTGTGTTGCACTGTTGGAGGAGCCTGGGGACCTAAGATTTTCATCGACATAACTACACTGTATCTATGTACGAATGACAATAAAAGCCTTGAATCTTGAATCTTGAGTTATATTTGTGCCATGCAAATAGCCCACCATATAGATACACTACATATACAAATACATTCATGACCAGACTTATGTAACTTAAAAGTAAGTTACATTTTGGAAAATCACAAGCTCTACAACAATTGTATTCATGAATTTGAGTGTGCTCTCTGATTTAAATACTTTTCATACATTTTTAAGTTATGAAAGGGACTGGAGATGCGCTATTTTATTTGATATAAAAAGAAAGGAAGAAACGCTGCTGATAAGTCATTTTAAATATGCTGTATTTCATTCTCTCATAACGGCTTGGATGATAGTTATGATTTGTTTTACTTAACTTGCCGGGGGCTGTCTATATATCCCACACTGATCAAAGAGGTGTAGTCGTCACTGTGATGTCTTATTTATGATGCTATGAGATCCTATTTGAGCACAGTTAGTCCCCCACAAAGGGACCTGGTTTCCTGCCATTAGTAGAGAAAGACAGGCGAGGCTCCAAGCTTAAACTGTTTGTTCCCACCAGTTATCGGCTTTTTATTCTTATTACTGCCAGAGGCTTCCCAGAATGTGTGCATGTGGTTGCGTGGGAGTTATTTGGATTCATCCTTGTGGAAAAAACGACCCCTATTTAGGTTGTAACAAGCAATATGTCAGTGTTGTTATTCCACCTTCGCCAACTACTGTACAACAGTAAAACCCCTTGCTTTTACATTAATGCATGAGTAATGATAATCTCATGATATAATATATAATACTATCACACAGGGGACATACATTTTTATAGCCCTTTCAAAGCTAAATGTCTGTATCTAAGCTAAATGACTCCCAGTTGACTCTCTAACAAGCAACCAATTTTCAGTGGAGATTATGGAAATGTGTTGCTGACAGTAGCACCTTTAGACTCATACACAAGATAATATGTCAACATAATAAACTACTTCAATGCTTTTGCACAGCATATTCACTTACTAGGACAAGACCTAGCTTGCTATTATATAATGGAGGCTCCATGCAGACCACATTATGATTTATGTTGAGATACAGAAAGGTATGTGTGTTTTATGTGCACACATTTGTCACAGAGCAAAGAATATAAATCCAATGGAAATACGAAATAAATGTATTTTTTGGGGAATCACAGCCATTGGCCTAAAGGAGCCCTATAATGCTTTTTTAGGTTTTCCCTTTCCTGTCATGTGTTATATAGATTTCTGTGCATGTTAATGCTCGGAAAAGACTACAATCCCAATGTTCCCTTCAGAGGAAGTTTCTCTCCCACACAACCCAACATGTAATCATGTCACAGTAGAGGCACAGAATACAAATATAACCTGAAAATGAGCGTTATAGGGCCCTAGGGAACAAAAACAATAGTAAGTGCATCATCTTTCAAAATTCCATCTCAGTTAAACACACATAATGTGACTTATAATGTGACTGACGATCATCACAGGCAATCCACTTTAAAGAAAGCTCGACCTAAAATGGTCTCTTTTCTGAAAGTACACAGCCATTTACTTTCCACTCAAACAAACCGCTGCAGAGTCAATCAGCAAATAGACCGCAATGTGATTAAAGAGAAGAGCAGGGGAGATAAAAGAGTTTGCAAAGTAAAACTATACAGCTACACATGCATAAGAGTTACATGGAAATGCAACAAAAATGAAAATACCACTGACAAACTCAAGGATGGAAGGTCTTTCGAGGACTGCAAGACTGGAATTATGAGAGGGTGAAAATGCCATATACTTCAGTTACCTTTTAATAACAAATCTTGTCATTCTAAGAAAAATCACACAAAACAACCCATTAAACACTTAAGAGCTGAGGTTAAGGGTATTGTAAGAAAATAAAATGTGTTAGGCTGAAAAATGATAAATTCTGTTGTGGCCATTATGAAAAAGCCATGGCTGCTCTTTATTCCAAACACTTGTGAAAGATAAGTAGGCAAAGTGTAAATGGGTAAAAGTCTCAGGAATAGGAATTGGATCACTATTACTATGTTATTAGTATTATAATTTGTATAATTATTGCTTTTGTTATTATGACGATTTCTAGTATTATTAGTACTAGTATTATTAGTATTAGTATTATTAGTATTAGTATGAATGGACGAATAGATAATGGAGCCTCTGATTTTCAACAGGACAAGAAACAGGATTATGTGCGCATGCGCAGTGCTTGGAAATAAGGAAGTATATTTCCAATGGATGCATTTCCTAACTAAAATGTGGCACCGTAGAGGAGCGTCCTGCTGTAGATAAACACACACACGGTGCTAATTATACCTCGACTGACGGTAAGAGACGAATGGCGAGTTGTAAAAAAGTAATGGCGTATGTTATGAGTCATGTTGGCTAGCTTTTAATAGCGTAACTTCTAAGAAGCTAATGCTGCAGCTAATTAGGAACGAGTGTTTATGAGACGTAAACAACCGACGGAGGTTAACTATTCAGTTTACAGTAGAGAATAACTTTATTTGTACTAGTTTCCTGGACACAAGCCTAAGCGACATAATGTTATTATTGCACATAAGCTACTTATTTATTCTTGGCAGTAATTAGCCCCACGTGATTTAACCTAGATAATAATAATAATAATAGGAGGAGGGTTGTGAATTCAAACTGATACACAACTATTTTGGTTTACTTTATTTGTCCTATTCAATTTAATATGAGGACACAGTCAAACATGGTACAGTAGCAGGAAACTAAAAGAAGAAAACATACTGTAGTACTTAGCCTACTCCTTAAATATTTGCAGTTTTATTATAATAACAAAGGTCGTTAACAGAAAATACTGTGTTAAGCTAAAAATCTTAAGAAATGCATTTCATTTCATTTCAAACCTTTATTTATCCAGGTTGTATCCCATTGAGATCATTGATCTCTTTTTCAAGGGAGACCTGCTAATAATAAAAGTTGCAATCATGTATTAAAAACCCATTGTAACAGGACTAGTGTAGCCAGGGTTTAAAATATAACATTACTGAGTCAGTAAATATTTCCCCCAGTAAAACCCCATCCCTCTAACAAATGTTTGTTCCTCATTTAAAAGAATGTTATTTTAAGGGCTAGACCATCTGGTGAAGAAATGCAAAGTCCCTGCATTATGTAATAACCACTTAAAGACGTTAGTCTAAACATATCAGTCAAAAACACACCATGTAATGTATATGTGTGCAATTTTAGACTATAACTAAATCAAGACTACCAAAATATAGTATACATTACATTTATAAAAGCATTCACATTGTACACTTTGTACAAATATACCATAATGTATGTGTATAACCATGAATAGTAGGGCTATAGTGCAAAGGGTGCTGGAATAAATACAGAATGATACATGGTTGCTTTATACATAAGGAAGGTGGATATGACATTGTATACACATGTTCAAATGTATCTTTTACAGTGGTGCTATTTAAATGTTAAAACAGTATTTATTTAAACCATAAAATGTATAATGTACAGGTAAGTATAGTGGATGTTAGTGTTACAGGGTGAACACAGCAGGCATTCTTCCTGTGAAGTATCCATCGTAGTGAAAAATCTGTTGTTTTGTCGAGTGAACAAGTTGGAACAGGTTGTGTCCAGGATGTGATGGTGTGCAGTGTTTCCGGCCCGATTTCAGGCTATGGAGGTGTATAAATCCAACAATAGTTTGAATGCAGCAGCCATGACTTCCTGTTCTGCATCCTGTTTGGTGGCTGAATCAAACCCCCACAGTGATGGATGTGCAGAGAACAGAGTGAATAATTGCGTTGTCAAATTGGATCAGTCGCTCCTGAGGCAGATTCCTGAGCTGCCACAGGAAGTACGCGCTCTGCTTGACCTTTTTTTCCTGATGGTGTCTATATTGGGATCCCACTTTAAATCCTGGGACACAGGATCTTAGAAACCTGAAGGCTTTCACAGCAGACACAGTGATTTTCTGTATGGTGATGAGGGGCGGGTTGTTGTCACCGTGACTGCACCAGATGCAAAGTTAATGCAAAGATCTGGACTTTGAAATCCTTTGAAAGAATGCTGATTTTCAGGCAAACAATCCTGTCGCAAATCTCCATCTGAAATCAATACGGAGGAATAGTAGTGACTACTCTAGGGCTGCATGATTATTTTTGACTGATATTGCAATTGCGAGAGAATTATCATTTTTTAAACATTATTCAAACTATCATTGAAATATATCAAAATGATCATGGTGTGATTCTATTTTTTTGAATCACACCAAACACAGAATTGGTTATTAAGTCTATAGAATAGGCTAGTACCGCAGTACGTACTTGTAATATTTGAACATATTCCCCATAACCAATTTTTACTGTAGGGCTGCAGGATTTGGAAAACATGTGCGATTATTTTGACTGATTTTTGTCAAACTTGATTTTTGGAACATTATACAAACTATCACTGTATACAGTTTATCAAAAATGATCATGGTCTGCATTCATGATCCTTACCAAACACAGATATTTGTATTTAGTCTTTAAGATAGACTAAGTACTTCGTATCTCCTTAACCAATTGTTTTGCTTTCTGCTATTTGGATATATTGCACTAGTCCATATTGTGATTTCAATAAAAATAATGATTAAGAAGGAGAAGAACAAGACCCTTTATTCATCCCCAAGGGGAAATTAAATTCAATACAATAAACATGCATGCACTGCAGGACCTATACACATTAGGTCTGAATACATATATATACTGTAGATACATATACAAACACATGCACGTTTCTGTTATATGGAGAGGTGTCTTGGCAGTGCCCAGAAGGTGAACTTGCACCTCTCCAGCTCCCAGTCCTCATTCAGGTCAGGACTCATACCGGCGATCCATTGGTTCCCAAGCCCATTAATTGTGCAGCCCTGGAATATTCCCACATATCTAAAGCTTCAGCTCTCATTCAAAGTAATTTCTCCCAGAAAATCTAGCGACATCCAGAATTTGTCCTCGTATTGTAAAGACTTTCCTCCCTTTTTTGCTAAATCTGCAGTATCCCCTCTTTGCAGCAAATGTAACTTCACAACAACCTGCAGCTTTCTTCATCAGAGAGGCTCTGTGGTGAGTTGTTGTGACAGCTGCTGGCTACAACCACAGCAGGTTTCTGTAAGCTCCTCCAAACTCTTGTTCAAGCAGAAACAACAGTTTGTATTCATGGATTAAGTCTCCCTCTGGGGGGGCTCAAGTGCAAGTATTCACAGAGCCAAACACAAAAACAAAACCCAAGACTTGAGGATATCAGATCGTATGTATAGTCAAACTCCTCTGCGTCCCACTGGAGCAGATCAATGTGCGACTTTTTCTTGTTTCTTTCTCTGTTTCTGTGGGGATGACACATCAGATGCAATTCTGATCATCTTGAAAAGTAATTTTTTTGGCACGTGTTTAATAAATACAAGAGATTCTGTTTTATTCAGTCCAAATTGGGTTTTGTAGAAAAACACGAAACATCTCAAGTTTGCCAAAGCACTTAGACGGTGTGCTGCAAACAACTCACTTGACTAATTAATCCCCAAACAGACACACTAAGCGACCTTGGGTCCCGTGAAAGGCGCTTTATAAATTCCATTTATTTTATTATTAAGTGAGTCACCTTTGCCCTTGCTCAAACAGTGAAAGCGATTGTTGGAAATGCTGAAAAGTTTTGTCAGACGCTGAATAAAAAGGTCAGTTTATTGTTTACATTCTCAGACTACTCCTAATTACGCCTAAAAAACATTTTCATATTTTTCCAAGGTGTGTTGTTTCTAAATAACTGATTTAAGCAATGTTGTGTGGCAGTATAAGCTGCTGTATGGCATCAACAAAGGAACATTTATCTACCATGATAGGTTTTGACTTAGCTATAGCCTAACCTACTTCAGATTTCTAATCAATAAGCAGAGCAATATGTTGTTGAAGAGTACACTCAAGATCTCAAAGATTGCTGTGGACATATTACGTTATTAGGAATTGGGATAAATGGTATACATATATACTTTTTTTGGTTGATAATTAATGATCTGCTTCTCATGGCGGTTACCAATAAAATGAGCAATTATTGCACTTTTATTTGTTTTTAAAATAAGTTCATAACCTGTAGTTTATGCACACCTGAATGTAAGAAATGCCAAGATGTATTTAGAAAAGGATAGATGAGCTAACATTACATGGTTCTGACCAACATGGAACTTACTATTAACACAAAAAACAATTCTTCAAATATTCCCTTTTTTCTAGTTAATTACATTTAAAAAAAACTTCAAATTGTAACCATGTTTTCTTCTATAAAGTTTTCTAAGAGCAACTGACACTGAAAAAGGTACACAATGGTGACATCATGAGTTTGTTTGCGCTTGTTTTATCTTCTTCTCTTTGTTTATTGGTGGTTTGCAAACCATCTTTAAAGTTGCATACCCCCACCTGTTGTATCGGAGTGTAGATGCTTAAGTGAAAGCATTTTGGTGAAATACCGGACGAAATAAGACGTAATTATTGAAGTTCATTGACTTGATATATGTTGTGTGTCTCTCTTTCCAAACAGTTCCTAATGAAGCAATATGTTGGGGGCTGGACAATCCAACAACAAGGTCAAGTATTCACGGCTGGCAGCTGATGACGACGGTTACATCGACTTACAGGTGAGAGGCTCCTTCCTTTCTCAAACATCGGCTCTCATGTTGTTCAGGAGCCTAGGAATTATTACCTTTTATTCCCACTGCCAATTCATTTGAGCTTAATCCCAAATAACAACTTCCTGGATATGTGCCTCCTTCATTATACTCGAGGAGATATGAGATGCTGCTTGCAAAAGAACAATTGTAATAAGTATTTTATGTCTGTTTATTTGCAAGGGATTAACACAGGCTAATTTGTTTTGTTATTAACTGAAACAAACAGAAAATACTCATTGCTAAATTAAACTAGACACTCTGTTAAGCTCAATATTGAGGCAGCACTGCACTGTCTGCTATTATTTGTTACCATAATTCTTTTTTGTTCTGTTCAACAACCTTTTACAGTTCAAGAAAAGCCCGCCAAAGGTCCCCTACAAGGCAATCGCACTGGCAATATTCCTGTTTATGATTGGCTCCTTATTGATAATCTTCGGGGCTCTTCTTCTGTCAGGAACCATAAAGGTGGAGGTGAGTTAGTCAATGTAATGAAATCTGTAATCTAACCCAAACCCTTAACCCTAACCCTAATCTATTGACAAACCACAATATTGGGTCTAGGGTTGGACTGTAGTTGAAATACTTCCCCAGTATATACATTTAAATACAGTGTATGTGTCTGTTGCCAAAGGGCTCATTGTGAAGCATGTCACATTCTCCCACAATGTTTGTGTTCCCTAAAACTGACAGTAAATACCCCGTCAGGCTTGTTCTCCTGAAAATCCATTTTTGACAAAAATGTTTCCGTCTGAGCCGCCTGCCTCCTGTCTGTTCTCAGAGTAATTCCCGCTCACAAGATGTATCTCTTTTTAAATTGCTCCTTTATGCGAAAAAGAACATATTTTCTCTACCTTTCTGTTTAATATGTCCAGAATGTGTCTCCAAACATCTCTTAAAGCAGTTTGATAAAGGAAGTCTTCAGGTCAACTTGAATGCTTTTTGACAAGAAAGGAATTGACATGTTGGGTGATACGCTTCATCGCTTTTCTTACTAAGAATTCAATGAGAATATTTATACCACTTTTATGTCTGTACACTTAATGTGAAGCTTTGTACAGCAGTAGGTTAGCTTTGCCTAGCACAAATGCCAGAAAAAGGCGACAACATATAGCCTGCCATCGTCAAAGGAAGCAATCCATCTAAAGCTCTCTGAGGTCATTTATTGTCTGTTTAACTTGTACATTCACCGGAGAGGTTTCACTGAGGGTTCAGGGTCAGGAACAACTCAGATTATATTATCTTTGGGTCTAACTAGCTGCATTCATTAGTCAGCAGTTGGTTAGCTTTGGACTGAGCCAGGCTAAATGTTTCCCCATGTTTCCAGTCCTCCTGCTGAGCTAAGCTAAGGGGTTTAGCCTTTCAAAAGAAAAGTTCCACTGCGCACCAAACAATGTTTTACCCTCCCACTTACTGCCAAGAGGGAGGCATAGACTGACAACTAATAGTGGTTGAAAAAAGAGATGACATAAAGAAAACTACCATATTTAATATTATGCATACCTTTTTTTCAAATCTCAAAGAGGGTTTATTTCAGGGATTTATTTATTTGTCTTAGATGTCTCACGTCTTTAAAATATGACAAATGATTTCAAACAATCAACACACCTCCAGTGTACCAATTCTGGGGACGGGTATCGTTTGTCACTACTAGTACTCATTCTCCACGTAAGGTTTAAGTGCCAATACTTTATGACATTGCAAAATGTATGAAAAAGTACTTCTAGAATTAATGGCAGTAATCTAAATATAAGCAGCTTTAAAGAAAAAAAGTTGCTTGAATTAACATTTTCAAATCTTCACCATTTTGTTTTACAGCACAAAATATCTGATCTTAACATAAGTAAACAAGCCAGTTAATCTGGCCAAGCATTACAAGACAGCTTTTGGTACTTGACAGTTTCCCACACTTGGCGCAACAGCATACAAATATTTAAATCGGTAAAACAAAGTATTGAGGTGTGAGCCCAGCTTTTACACATCTAGAGAGCCAACGCAGCTTTTATAGTGGCAAACACATGCTGTAATTAAAACTCTCGTTGAGTTAATCTGATTTTTAAATAGCTTTAATTGAGACGTTATCATAGCATTTTTTTGCCCTGCAGCCAGTTTTCTGATGCTGCGCTTATTTGGCGACAATTGTTTACTGCGTGTTTGAGTTCGCTCTTTGAGTGCCAACTTTAGAAGATCCCCCACTGTGGTCCTGCTTCCTCAAATAAGGACTCCATTTGGGAGATAACTATTCAAATTATATATTTGATAATCAGTAGGAGGTTAATGTGAATGCTTTTTCCAGTCTGCATATTTGTATTTGCTGAAAATTTGATCTGACATGTAGGCGGCATCAAAGTATTTGAGCCGTCTACTTGCCAATTAGCCCACGCGAGTTGAAAAAGCATATCTAATACCAGAAATTACTCAATGTTCGAGCAATGGAGGAAGGAAATATTGGATGTAGGCAGGTTCTATTTAAAGTAATGTGGTTTAATTGTTTTAACCTTTTTTCTGGAGCTTTTTCATCCACACAGTTATATATATTTGTACATGGAGTTTGCTCGATTCTCATTTAGATAGTTCAACTAAGCAGATCAGATGATGAAGACTATGAAATGTGGTTGAAAGCTCAGAAAAACAAGAGCGAGAGTCAAAGCTGCATTAGCTTGGGAAATGGAGGATCGCTGGTTCAAGACCCTGAACGTACCAAGTACTGAGTGTGTACTTTTACCTGGAGAGGAGCTAGTTTATCTCATGGGCACTTTAGAGGTGCCTTTGAGCAAGGCACTGGACCCCCACTGTTCCCCAGACTCTGTATATAACATGTAGCTGCCAACTGCCCCTAAAAGGCACCTCAAATACATGCCAAATAGATACTGTACATGACAGAAAGAGAAATGATGCTTGACGCATGGCCCATGCAGCAGTGTGTTGGCGTTACAGTTACTCAGTGCACAAGACTGCCATCTGGTGGGGAAATAAAACACTTCACTTGGCGATGATAAGGATTGCCTGTCTGTGCCTGGTGGTGGTTCAATGTGAAGTGACTAATGATTTACATGACACCAGATCTCAGACAGATGAAGTCATCACGCCTGTGCCTCCTGCACACCCTTTTCTTCCAGAGCCTGTTTATATGGCGCTGGCAGGCAAACATGGAGATAAGCATGTTAAAGCCTGATGAGTACATTATCAGAATCTGATATGCTTCTTCCAGCAGTAGGGTATTGATGTGTGAGTGAGTGAGTCAATATGAGTCTGATTCACACCTAAAATAGATTTTAAATCCAAAGAATGTCAATTTATCCTCACCCTCAACTCAATATTTTCTCTTTTTTGATGTTTTCAGAACCCAGACCGCACCATTCCTGTCATCATCATAGGGGTGCTCGTTTTCCTTCCTGGATTTTACCATTTGAGAATCGCCTACTACGCCGCAAAGGGTTACAGGGGTTACTCGTATGACGACATCCCGGATTTTGGCGACTGACCCCGACACTCGCCATACTTTATAACCTAGACTGTTGCCTGCTGTTTACTTTCTGAATGTATGTAGCTAATAATTTATCACTGGAGACACATGTTTAGTTGTTTTTTGTATGATTCTGTGTTGTTTATTTAAAGCTCTGTGTTGTATTATCTTCCACACAAATGCTTGAATTACCTTAGAGGCTTTATATATATATATAACTTTATAAAGAAAGAGCCAAACACTTAATGAGAAGGGGACCTGTTGCGGTACAGCAACATGTCGCTGATGTATAAATAAGTGTTGAGATGAGAGAAAACACAGATGCCTTTTTAAAGTTACTCCTGCTAGACCATCCATGACCTGAATGACTGATAAGCTTTGTTTTCTTTGCACAGTTGCACTGCTGTTTTTATAGTATATCATAAAAAGAAGTATTTATTTGCAATTGTAGTCTATACCATTTTAATGCAAAGCTCAAACGGGCTGATATTTCCCTTGAAATATCATATTTGCAGTGCTATCCAAAGATTGATTACTTTGTCGAGGTACACTATATTTTTAACTGAAATGTATTACTTTGTGTATGAAGTCTTGCTGTTTGTGCATATTCAATTGACTTTGAATATCAAAGAAAGATGTATTTTTACATGCATTGCCTGATTTAAAAAAATAAAATTAAGTAAAGGAGAAATCTATTTAGAAGTTTGTTACTGTGATTTTAAAAGCAAGAAAGTTAATTATGTAGATTGTCCTTTGAGATTTGATTGTGATGGTAGATTATGGAGATAACAAAGAAACTAAAAGGTCTATTTGAAACACAGATTTCAACTAATTAAATAATGACATTGAAAGTCCTTCCTTCCTTCCTTGTAACATAAACTTTCTTCATTTAAAAAACAAACGAAGAAAGGATTAGAAAGTAAGAAAAGCAAACAAATCGAGGCAAACTTTCTTCTTTTCTAAATCTATTGGAAAGTATTTGAACTTGATTGTGTTTCCAAGACCAAACAGCCATTCACACACGAGTAAAGGTTTTATTTTTTAGAGAGAAACTCTGCAAAGAACAGCCTCTCATTGCCAAACACAACATCACTTTATGCAAGAGAACATATGAAATACCACACAAAAGTATGAAGGGCACACATTGTGCAGTTTCTTATACTTATATATCTGAGTCATACAGCCAGGGGCGCCGCCAGGGATTTTGGGCCCCATGAAAAGATATCACATTGGGCCCCACCACCAGGCACAGGCCACGCCAACCAAGCACAATTGCTGTAACCACACTTCCAGAACCCAACCGACTCATTTATGCTTTAAATAACTCCACCTGTACAGGCTTGCATCTATCTTGTAGTCCAATACTAACCGCACAATATTTACTGACACTGAGCTGTGAAAATATAACACTGTGCAGACGTGCAACATTCTGCTGCAGTAGAATTCACTATTTGATATAAGACTAACATTCCTGACAATAGATTTCAATAGTCATCTTTTATGGTGTAAATGCCTTTTTAATAATAACATTTTTGAATGGAACATTCTCAACACGAATGCATAAATCCAAATAAATATAAATTAAATATGTGGAAAAATACTGTTGGAAATGTATAATTGAAATTAGATGTTAGCTTTTTGTTTTGATATATATATATATGTTGTATTCCAGTCTCCCTTCAGATATGTTAAGTGGCATGTCATTCAACACAATGCTGCTCACCTCCTTCATTTGGGAGAAAACCTGGTTCAGGTTCAGCATTATGGGGGGACAGGGCTGCTCAGCCTAAAGATGGATCTGTTCTGTTGGTCCTGGCACCAGGGATACAGCCAACAAGTGTTCCTATTTTCTTCGACTGGCCACCAACACGAGGTGAAGGACACCCTCTTGTGGTCACCAATAAACTGGTTTTCATAAAAAAAGGGATTAAGGGCAAAGAAAATCGCCTTATCATACTCTGCTGCAAAAACAAACTCATATTAAATCTGCACTGGCTTGAATGTTAGAGGGCTTAAAGTGCTAACTTTCGTTTAATATGGTTTGAGTCCTTTAAACACAGCACCAGCCAGAGTTGGGAGGGGTGGAGCTGGAGGGGAAGGGGGTGGGGTTGGACTTTCACAGGGAGGGAGCAGCAAAGTGGGTCGATGCTTCTGTCACCTGAACGTGAAATGAACACCTGTTGCCTAGCGGGTTTTAAAAGAAAACGCTCGTGTTTCAGGTCGTTTTCAACACCACAAAAGACCTGGCCCCGCTTTAAGCAGAACTACGGTGATCCGGAGCTCCACACGGAACTATCCTGGGCACACGGTTAACTTAAAAGCGATTTACGAAGGATGTGTTTTTAAATGGAAATTGCACAGCGCCTGCACACCGAAAACCGAGCTACAGGTAGGAAAAGCTAAATTAAACAACCCCCCCACACACACTGCAGTTAATGAGTCTGTAAGTGTTTCTGGCTTCCAGCTGTTTTGGAAGGATGTGAAATTAATGCTCTGAGTCCATACTGGGGAGTGCGAAATCTCCTCTCAATCCTCCGAATAACGGCATGCATTTAAACGTGGGCAATGAAGTTTTTTATGGGGTCTTTTCATTATAATTAAATGTGAAATTGGCAGAAAGTTTGTGGAGCTTCAACTCAGCAGCAGGAGCAGTTTAAGCCCCACATATTCATTCGTGAGTCAGTGTTAGTCATCTGTAAGGCTTCTGTAGGCCAAGGATTTTTATTTCCCTATAGAATGGATCATTTCATTGGGATAGAGGTGTGAGCCTTTTTTAGAACGACTTTTTGTATACCCTGAAAAACTGGATGTCTGGAATTGTTGTACCAAGAAGCTTTACAAATAATAATACTAGGTCTCTGCTCTCCCATTAATTAAAAATAATATTCAGGGTGCAAAAAGTTCAACATTACAACCCACAGCTTCCAATCCTGCTATGTACAAAAAAAGACACATATTTTTTCATTCAATACTTTGAATGGTACATTAAGTCTTCTAAGTCTTTCCTTCTGTATTATATTCAGTAACAAGGAAGGAAATGGATATCATTTATTATTTCTCCATATTTCTTGCAACCTAACTATACGTAGAGCCACACAGAATATGAAATGTCATCTCCTAACTCTGTTCACTTTGAACTGAGGTCCCTCAATTTCACAGATTATGAGAGAGATATTCTCATAACTTCCCCTAGACATGGCTCATTAAATCATTTCAAATTCCAATTCTGGTTTGATTGCAACCGACAAGTTGCCAGATGGGTGCAGTTTCCTCAACAATATAACAATTTTCCACAAAGGTTACATCATCAGAGGGAGGCCAGGTTAATTTAACGTTGTTATGAAGGGAAAGGACTTGATTGACACCAATAGTATAATACCGCATTACGTGAATGCAGTAAACACTTCAAATATGATGCTTAGACTGAAGTCGATGCAAATTAATAATGGCAAAGCACTCCTAAGCCCATACCAGTGTTTTTGCATGCTGTGTTGAAGTGCATTACTTTTGATCCCGCCTGCTGGAGGGTAAAAGGAGACACTATTGCCTTTGTAAATGTAATTGCATGACTGGGACCAAACTGTCAGAATGTTGGATTAAGTGGCTGCAATGTTAACTTGCTGCTATTGTAGGCTACTTTTAAAAACGGCCCAAAACTTGGTTATATAATTTCTTAATAACATTGATAGTCATGGCCAAAGCTAGCAAACATCAAGGTAAACAAATATATTTAGGTATTATTCATTTGGAGTTAGATGCTAAATCAACAATTAACTCAATTGACTTTGAGTTGGAGATTGGACATCCTCCTCAAGACCCAACATTTTAATATGTTGTTCTTAAAGCTCTGTATTTTTCTGACAACAGATATGGTCTGACTCATACTGTAACTGTGAGTCATACTCTTGGTTAGGATGGCCTGCTTGGGGAACCCGTGGGCTCTGTCATTTTTGCACCTTTTAGATAAAAAGCAATTTTTGGTCTGCTCCCATACGATAAAGTATTTTTATCTGGCTGAATATCTCCAGGCAATATTCTTTTTTTGCATTCTCTGGATTTTCTATCTAGTCTCAATAGCGTACAGAAATGGTTAAAAAGGGCACAGAATATGTTGCAGAACAACTTAAAACTAAATTAATTTATCTTGTTAAATGTTTTTAAATCGTTAATGAAAGAATGAAAGGCTTGTTTCTTAAACTACAATGTTTTTAGGTCTACCTGGTTATAAAACTTGAACTTTTTATTTTTAAATGTTAGTTCCCATGCTTTCTTTTTAATTATTTTCAAATGTTTGTGTTTTTTTGTTTGTAACTTTGCTGCTGCCTATCTTGGTCAGGTCTCCCATTAAAACAGACTTCTCAATAGTAGTCTTCTGTTTTATTCATAGTGAAAAAAAAAAGAAGAAGCTTTGAATCAATTTGACAGCTGCCAATCAAATTGCCACCTCTTTAGGGAAAGACAGACAGACAGCAGATGATGCCGTTTAGATCATCAGAATGAGGTGTAAGAAATCTGCTGCTGTCAACAAAAAACAGATGGCTCTATGCAAAGCATTTGACAGATATTTAAACAGAAGTATTATTAATAATTTAATGGAAAATTATAAACACATTGTTTTTAATATTTATTTTCTCCAGTACTATTTTCAAGAGGCCCTTCTATGCTTTTTGTGGTTCTCCCTTTCCTTCAGTGTGTTGTATAGATTTTGGTCCATGATGTGCAAATGCTAAAATCCCAAAGTTCCCTCCAGAGTTTCTCTCCCACACACTCCTGAAACGCCTCCATTGGACTCCATTGTTTACTTCGGTTTCATAATGACATCACTATATAACAACTGTGCTTCTTTTATCTATTGTTTCCAACCCATTGTACGTGATAGGTTAAGGGGCGGGACATCTAAAAGTGGTTGACCAATCACCACAGAACCGGCCAGCTAACCAATTTGGGGAGACTGGGCTCTGGTTTGAGACAGAGGGTGAAAAAAGAGGTGCACAATAAATAAATGAGAATAATAAAGACCTTTTTTGAACATTTAAAGCATAAAAACATGTCTTCGTAGACGGCGTAGAGGAACAAAATACAAATATGAACCTGAAAATGAGCAGAATATGTCCTCTGTAATATTATACTCACTGTTAGTCTGTAAAAACAATAGAAGAATGGGTATTACATGTGGTCATGGGTTTGGTTCAGAACTTGGACTTGACTTATTACAATGTATGTTTGGACTTCGGAATTTAGAACCAAGACTTCAATGTAATTTGTGACTTACAAAACAGCGACTTTGCCCCATCTATTCTTTTTTTAACCCTTTACATCATTGATATTCTGTATACAACTGAAATGTATTGAATAGATTACAACATCAAAAAGATTGTGGCTTTTATCTGGATTTTCCAGCCCTCTGATTCATTGAAAAGATACCGAATGTTTGTACTCTTGAGCACGGAGATGCAGTACTCACGCATAGGAAACCGCTTTATTTTTCCTTATTTTATCTACCTTTTTCAGTCAGTCCTATTTTCTCTTGAGTGCACATCAAACTGAGCGACGTAGAGCCTTTTCTTTTGTGACAGAAAGCTTGTCTATGAAAACGGGCTTTTATTTCCTTGTGCAGAGCTATAGAAGAATAAAATGTACACCAACAATATAATGCTGGCGAAGAACTTCATCTTTGAAGTATAACCTAATCACA